TTTAATGTATGAGTTTGAAAATATCCTTATAGGACGAAACTGCAGTAATATTAGTTACAAATAAAAGTAGTAAAAACATAGAAAGTTTCAATTCTCTTTTCTTCATTATGATCTCCTACCGCGTAGTAACGGCTACATCCATCAATTTATTAAATAAATTATACCACGCCGCCCACGCCATACAAAGAAACTGCCAACGTTCGGTAACTATTTAGTTTTTATGCCATTCGAATTGACTTCGTATGTACTATACTAAATGAATTCGAACAATACTCTGTAAAAAAAAAATCATATTACTGGAGTTTTTTCCCAACACCAAATCGTTATTTTTAAAACCTCGACACGTGTTTCGATCAACAAGTGATCATCTTCAAACAGGAAGATTAATCAGTTTTAATCTTCCTCTTTGAAGATGATCACTTGACACGTGTTTCGATTACCAAGTGATCATCTTCAAAAAGGAAGATTAATCAGTTTTAATCTTCCTCTTTGAAGATGATCACTTGGTGATCGAAACACGTGTCGAGGTTTTAAAAATAACGATTTGGTGTTGGGAAAAACTCCAGTAATATTCATTACTACACGAAAGGTTCCAAACAGTGCATCATAAAAAAATTCACATGAAACTACCTAACAACTATTTTTTCTGATAGGCTGTTACATTATTTTATATAATATGTATTGTATAGGTCCTAGCAACTTGTAATTTCTGTTTCAGGAATTTGAACGTAGCCGAGCCTTCTTGTTTCTGACTGAGATAAAAAATCGATTTCAATCTGCTTATGCTTCTAGTGCAAACACAGCTGTGGCATATGCAATGAACCCTGAATTTTCGAGGATATTGGCCAGCGAAATGAAACGTTATTCTGAATCCCATGATATTGACACTGTTAGCAAGGTTCATAACGAATTAAATGAGCTGAAGGATATAATGGTTAAGAATATAGGTTGGTAATTTTTTATTGGCCAGTATTGTTATTATCCTACAAATAGATATAACGGTGGAATCTGAAAAATTATATTTTCCAAATACTATCCAAATTGTCCCTACTAGTATTACAAGAATGTTTTGTTAAAATATATTTTTGTTTGATAATTAGAAGAAGGAAAATAATAAATGAGAAATATTCTAGAATTGGACTTTAAAGATGACCCTGCTTTTCGAAAGATCTATTTTACTTTGACATAGCAATTTTTACATTTCAATGATTAAGATCATGACAGTACAAGACATGTTTGATAAAACATGATTTATTTTCATCATATAATAGTTCACTCATTTTATCTACCAAAGATCAATTGGGTTGAAAATAGTCTTACGCAGTTTTTTATAGTTGAAAGATGGTTTTTAGGAAACGAAGTCTCTTAAGAAGTTCCCGACCATGTATGACTGATAAATCTGTTATCGGANTTTAATATGCTGATTTTTGATTGATTGCAATCATTAACAAGGACACTTAAAATCGTAGAATGGGGATTATCGATCTAGAGGACTTCAGTACTCCTCAGAGTTATCTCTCCATTGGCAAACTGAAAAAACTTTGTTGTGGAGATATCTGGTGTTGATATTCTATCTAAATTATGTTTATCCACGAATAGAAGTACATATCTGCAAAGATTCGGCAAAAATTATTTCACTTCCCAACAGCTTCTCATGATATATAAGAGGCAGATTCCATCTGTTCTGGAATACTGTAACTTTTGCATTTTTTCACATAGATCAGTTGATTCATTGTCATTTATCTGTCCTTATTTCTGAATTTTAAATGTTCTTATTTGTTCCAGATAATGTAGCTTTGAGAGGTGAAAGGTTGGAACTTCTAGTGAATAAAGCAGAAAATTTGAATAATGGGGTAAGTTTGTGTTTTCATTGATGTACTGAAAGATCAAACATCAAGATTGCTTACTTTTATGCTTCTCAATGTCACAGCGGTAGTCAAGTTTTTTTTAACTTCTATTATTTCCTTTATTACACAAAATTTTTCATATGTATCCTATATCCCCGCCTCGTTTAGTTACTTTTGATATCAGTTTTCTGAGTTTATGTACCAAGTTATGAGTTAACTAGTTACACAAAATTTTTCATATATATCGTATATCCCCGCCTCGTTTAGTTACTTTTGATATCAGTTTTCTGAGTTTATGTACCAAGTTATGAGTTAACTAGTTTAGTGATGCAATAATTTTTCTGAAGAAAGGTTGGTTGGGTAACTGGATCAATTTTTTCTTAAAAAAAAAAACAATTGTTTTCTT